GTGCCTATGCAAGCCAATTGTTTGTTGCTCTTTTTAATTTAATATTCTTCTAAACCTAATCTCAAGCAAAGCAAAATGAGCATTTCCTCCATGTTTGATCATCAGCCAATACGTTTAAAATGTTTATATCATCTTTTTACTACAAGAATTTGTCAGGCCAGCGTTCACCGAACTTGAACTTTTGCATGCAGCATGAGAAAGAATTCTTAGCATATCCTTACATATCCACTCTCTTGGTTTTGTGCGCTTATGAATAGAGGTGCATGAAAATAAAACATTGTTTCTGTTTGTAATCCATCCAAATGCTCGTCTAGGCTTCCTCTACTGTTCAGTTCAGTTGTGCTGACAATTGGCTTCAGCACCTAGAGCGTCTGACTGTGGGTCAGTGTGGGCATAAGGCTCAACTCCCCTTACCCAGTGCTGGCGGACCAGGGGGCTTTTCAGGAGATTTGTTCCGGGTGGAAGAAGGCTCCAAGTTTTATCACATTGGGAACAAAAAAACAGAGTCGTCAGAAGACCTTCCCTTTCCAAACACACATGTGCATAATATCCACACACATGAGCATACAAAATACCAGCATGGTAAGTCGGTACCAGCATGGCTTCATAGATGATTAAGTGTAACTGACAAGCTGCTCTGTCTTGCCATAAACCCACCTGCACAAGTAAAACCAGCATAGCTATCATGAAAACATAGCCACACACCGTGTAAAAAAGACTGTGTGTGGGAATGACATGCAAAACCTAAAATCAGCTTAATTGTGGGGACCAGCCAGTCGTGCTTATAGAGAAACTTCTTAAACATGCTAATTATTTTCTTAAAAAAAAAAAAAAAACTAATATTTTTTTGAGGATGAATTAAATAAATATTTTGTGTATTAATAAAAAATTATATTTTGTATATTCATCAAATATACTGACAATAGTCAAATGCCAGTCACTGTAATAATGCTGATGTCTTTGGTTTGCTATTAAATTGTGAGTCTTGGGGACTAATAAGTCATAATAAAATATAAATCATAAAAATGTAATGCCCAAAATGTGAGAATCAAATCCCTAACTCCTCTAGCATTGCAGCTAGAAAATTAAACCATCAAACCCCAATTAATTGGTCAAAGAGATAAATCTTGCCGGTGATGACAAAATATTTGTATTCTTTTATGATGATTTTATATTGCACTACTCATAACCATAACTGAGACTGACTGCAGTCAGCTGGGGAAGAAAAATAACTGTAGGGACACTCAAAACAAGATCCATAAAAGATTGCATCACGCTCTCTATAAATGTAGGAGATGGGTAAAAATGTGAACTTGGAACCAATGCCATGCACAAACACAAAAGCCCACATAGTTCAATGATGGTTCACTTGGATAATACCCAACCCACCCTCACCCCAAATCCAGATTACAGTGAAATCAGGGAAGCATTGTACTCGCTACAAAAGCACACGTGAAAATATCAAATAACATTTTATAACACTGTCAGACAGTATAACATCTTACAAAGCCAAGTCAAAGTATGGACAGCTCTTCATCTCTTTAGTGCAGGGGTGATGGCCAGGTGAACCTCATCATCTCCCTGCTCTGGATTATAGATTACAGCCGTAATCCGGAATTGAGGACATGCCTCAATATACTAAAAACAACCAAGCTAAACTATCTGAAAACACTGATGCATGATTAAAATATACACATTTTAATAAAAAGGCAAGAACTAGGATTTCAAAGGTTGTGGCCTTCAATCACTTTATGATGAGCACCATCTACCAGTTCTGATATCGCATTCCTTATATTTATCATTTGTGGATCAGTAGATGCCTACAACAATATGGCATGCAACTAACTCAACTAACCTGTTTTAAGGAAGCATGGCATATTTAGACTTATGCAGACCAGTTAATTAGACTAGTTTTAAATTTACCTGACCCAGATAAATATTTTTCTTAGGGGGATTTTTACATATGACACATTCCTACATTCACAGATTGGAAAGAAGGTCTCAAGACACATTTTAAAAGTTGGAATGCAGTGCAAGATGAGGCATAACGGTCGAATGTGTTTGGCTATAACACTGGCGCTTTTAAGGGGATCTAACAGCACTAATTAAAGCACCAATAAATAAATAAATAAACAATAAAGAAAATGACAAATTAGTCAACCTCACAAAAGCAACTAGTCAGTCATTGGAGTCAACCATTGTGACCTGTCTACACATTGACTATTATATTACTTCTGAACACAAAGTTTAAAACTAACCAAATGTGGTACAGATAGACATCAGCCAATTGTAAATAAATACACCAAATTATGTTCAATTCCATCTATAGGGGGCCATTATAACAAAGGAAAAGCTTGATTTGGCAAGTTTTCCCTTTGATGCAAGTGCTATTATAGGCTATCCTACAGCAGGGGTGTCCAATCCTACTTCTGGAGGGCCAATATCCTGCAGATTTTAGCTTCAACCTGCCCCAACACGCCTGGAAGTTTGCAGTGATCTAAAGACCTTCATTAGCATGTTGAAGTCTGTTTAATTAGGATCTAAGCAAAACTCTGCAAGATAGTGGCCCTCTCGAAGCAGGATTGGACACCTTTGTCCTAAAAACAGACTTGGTTACCAATGTGAAAAGAGTAAAAGATGCAAAATATGGATTGTGGTGTAGATATGGTTGCTTACCTGCTGAAACACGGGGGCAATCATTAAGCATGGGGTCCACCAGAGTATCCAGGGGCTCAGGACTCAACACCCAGTTACAGCAGTGCTGTGAGAAGAAAAAAGGGGGGAGGGAGACAGGAGCAAGCAATTAGGTACCTTAGAGACATGTCACATTGACAGTTTCGACTGTTTTTGTTGGGCAGGAGCGGGCACACCACTGGTGGCCCTCCAAGGAGTGTTTTCTTGGCCTAGTGACCTTGCCAAAGCTCTCAATGCCATCATCCCGTCCCCTGAGACCCCATCTCTCAACTCAATCTTCAACACCGAGTGTTTGTCTTCAGCTAAAACAGGTTTAATTAGGCATGTTTGGTTGAGAAAATCATCATACCCTCAAGCTAATAATGTACTGGATGTTTTCAATAAGTGCATACTGGCAGAACGTGTATTATGGAAACAATTGTACTGTTTAGATGGGGTGCAGAGTTGAAAAAAAGTTACAAAGGCATGCATGGAAAAGCGGGGTCTGGAGATAAGATAAAACATGCCGAAAAAAGACAGAGAAATTCAAGTGAGATTAGCGTATTGCAGCTGGCGTCCTTGTGAAGCGCAGCTTATCTAGGGTTGTTTACTTTCGCAGACATAGCACTGTCGAGGGGACTGCGACCCACCTGTCCACACAAACACACATAGAAATGGACAGAAAGACAGACAGATACCCACAAACACAACGCTATCTAACCCTCAACCAACTCCCAAGACGACCTCCCCTGACAGAGCAGAGAGGGACGATTCCACCACCCCACAAAAGACACTCGCATACATAAGCACACACATGTCAGAGCCCCAGGTCACATCACACCTCAGCCTGTCAACCTCCTTCACCTCTGAGCTCTGTGTCACCCCAGGGGTCACCACACTCCCACCCAACAGGGACCCTGTATGTGTGTGTGTTTGGCCAACAGGAAAGGGGTATATATTGGGAAGCACAGGAATTAGATTTTTAATTCCATCAATCTTTTTGGCCATGTCATCTTTGGTTAACACATAATAATGTGTAAAATGATAAATCAATTCAAGATACAACAGGATTCTGAAGTCTGGGGTGGTAGTGGCAGCAACAATTATGTTAGCGGTCTAGAGTTCAGATAAGACTTTGAAATCCAGTGGATGACAGAAGTGTAAACATTAACAATAATGCAAATACTCTCAACAGGAAACTGAGATGCACAAATAAAGACACTCTTTAATACAGTAATAAGCCACAAGGCCATTTATTACAGTGATTAACAAAGTTAAAGGGGTCATATGATGCGATTTCAATTTTTCCTTTCTCTTTGGAGTGTTACAAGCTCTTGGTGCATAAAGAAGATCTGTAAAGTTGCAAAGACTAAAGTCCAAAGAGATATTCTTTATAAAAGTTAAGACTCAACCACGCCTACCTAAAACGGCTCATTCTAACACGCCCCCACATGTCTACGTCACGATGTGGGAAGATTTGCATAACCCCACCTAAATGTTCACGCAAAGAAAGAAGGCGTAACTTTTATTCTCGCTGTAGTATTGTTGTTGCCGCCGCCGCCATGTCGTGAAGACGCTGTGTGTTTCGTTGTGAAAGCAAAACTACTTTGTTTGGCCTCCCAAAAGAGGACGATATCCGCTTCGTCATGCCTGGAGCTGATCCGTGCTGGTCGCTGAGGAAATACATCAACTTTGCGCTGTGGATCGCCGGATCGGCTTTCACCGTGGACGAAGCGGAGTCTAGTCCGGGGTCGTCACATGTGGTTGCCGCTCCTTCGTCGAATCCGCTGGCCGTTCCTCACTCAAGCCCGCCGGCCTCCACTCACTCAAGCCCGCCGTGCGTGATGCTGTGTGTTTCGTTGTGAAAGCGAAACTACTTTGTTTGGCCTTCCAAAAGAGAACAGTCAGTGGTTAAGTTGTATATACAACACTATTCCAGAACAGTTCAACCCAAATATTCAGATGTGTGCAGCGCATTTTATGGAGGACTGTTTCCTGATCCTGGGAGAGTAGACTACAATGCCGGCTGTTCTGATTCACAGACTGTAAGTACGTTTTCATATTTAAAGGATTTGCCACTGATGATTCAAACGCGAGTTTTGAGCAGTGTAGAGTAGTGCTTGTTGTTTGTCATTTCTCTGATCACAAATGCAGACATGGTTTTATGTTTACGCGGCGCGATGCAACGCAACGCGTAAAAAGACAGTATAAATTATTATAATCCGTAATTATGTCCCCACTGGATGCAACAAATGCCTCGTTTATAATGGGTTTTCATGTTTTTGTCTCGTCGCTCCGGCTCGGACACGGCATCACAGGATGGTAAGGGGTGTAACATTTCCGTCACACGCTTGAGGTATTCGGCCAATCACAACGCACTGGATAGCTGGCCAATCAGAGCACACTGGTAAAAAATGTATAGCCTGAATGCACTGTAAGTCACTTTGGATAAAAGTGTCTGCTAAATGAATAAATTATTTTTTTTTTTATTATTATTTAATATATTTTAAAATGTAATTTATTTTTTGTGATGACAAATCTGAATTTTCAGCAACCATTACTCAAGTCTTCAATGGCGCATGGCCCTTCAGAAAACATTCAAATATCCTGACTGTTGCTCAAGAACAGAATGTTCAAAAGAACATTGTTTATTTGAAATTAATTTTTTTTTGTAACAATATAAAAGCCTTTATTATCACTTCTGATCAATTAGTGCATCTTTGCTTAATAAAAATATGAATTTATTTATTTATTATTATTAATAATAAATAAAATTACTGGCTGCAAACTTTTGAACTATAAATACACACATATTAAATATATTAGGGAAAAATGTAAGATTCAATATAGTTTGTTGTTGCTTTTGTAATTAATAATAATAATAATCATAATATATATATATATATACAGTGGGTACGGAAAGTATTCAGACCCCCTTCAATTTTTCACTCTTTGTTATATTGCAGCCATTTGCTAAAATCATTTAAGTTAATTTTTTTTCCTCATTAATGTACAC